CATGGTGGTGACACCATCTTTGGATCATTGAGCAGAGCAGCACTAGAAAGATCTTAAAAGGTATCTGGAAGAACATGGTGGGAGGACAGGTGTGGTCAGTTGAGATAGAGCAATAATCCTGCAAAGGGAAACAAGCTGATGAGGAGCCCTGAGAAGGCAGGAGAGGTGGGTGCTGGGTCAGCACTGTCTGGGGAAAGCTGCTCACAAGTAGGTCTAGGGAGGTCACTCTTCCTAAGAGCCTGGAAAAGCAGGAGGCCCTGGGTTATTCTTGGGCTCCAATGTCCTTGGAGCCTTGACACAAGCCCAGGTTGAGACCTGGATTAACTGACCAACTTAGCAAGGATCACTGGGAGAGGGACTTGCCCAGTCCTGCTGATTCTGAGCTTCTCTTCCCTTCCTCATCTCCCTCTAGCATGATAACCCATTCGATGAGGGCTGCACAAGAAACTGTTACCTCACATTATGCGCACCCTTGGGACCCAAGTGAGTTGGTAAACCAAGGGCTCAAGTGGTGGACCCTGGGGCTGGTGGGGTGGGGAGAAGCTGGGTCTATTTCCCTGGTCCCTGTCCCTAGCTCCCAGGCCTTAACACTCCCTGTTCCTTTCCTTTGGGGTTTTCTCCAGGGCACTCTGGGAGTTTCTGGGAATTTCACTCTTCCTTGGTGTTTTAGGTTCTTGCCCCAAGAAATATGGTAGAGGGGAATGACAGCCTGGATAAGGCTCCTGGATGAGAGCCCTGGGCTCTATGCTTTCCCAGCTGACGGGTGAGTGTGGTCAGGGAGACCAGGCCAAGGTGGGTAGTGACTTCTTGCATTTGGCCTGTTGCTTCCCAGGTACATGTCAGAGGCTGTATGCCTTCAGGTGGAGCAGGGCACCACCTGGGGGCTAACACAACATCTTAAAGACCTCCTTGGGCCCAGGTCTGCAACTCAGGCACCCTCCATGGAGTAGCAAGTCTGCACCTTTACAGGAGGTGAGGAGTATTGGGTGTGCTTTGAAACATACGGGTCTTTTGGGGGAAGCTCCTCAGATTGGGATGGTCCTGAAGCTGAGTCACGTGGAACATAAGGAGTGGGATTATGGACTTGGAATTTGGAAGGTCCAGGTCACAGGGCTTCAGAGCACACCAAGGTGTCCCTGGATAGACAAAGACAAAAGACTGTATCAATAACTTTCTCGTTGTCCTTGGGCCAGTCCCTCACCTTTTTGGGGCCCCAGTTTCCTCTGCTATTAATGAGGACTGAGACTAATCTTGTACTTTATGATTTTAACGAAAATTCTGTTATATATATATACATATATGTATATAATATATATATATGTTGTTGTTGGACATAATATCTTTATTTTATATGTTTATTTTATGTGGTGTCAGGGATCAAACCCAGAGCCTAATGCATGCTAGGCAAGCACTCTACCCATGTGCCACCACCCCAGCCCAGATTCTTTTTTAAATGGAAATTTTTATTTGATGTACCATGTGAAATATTTGGAGTGGAGCATTAGGAGTGCAGTGGGGTGGGTCACCCATGGTGCCCCATGAGCCCTTGCAGTGACGTGGTGCCTGCCCTCTTTGTCCTGCCTTGGGACTTGACTGTGAGCTATGGGATGGAGGGTAGGGAGATCCTCCATGTACTGACTCTGTGTTTAGCTTCCCATCAGCCCAGTGGTATATTGGAAGGCTTCCAGAGGAGGCTTGGCCTTCCATTCACCCTTCATACACAGCAATGCCAGGACATGCACCAGAAGTTCCTGAGCTCCATGTGGGGGTCTCTTGTGCCTGAGGCCTCACTCACAACCCTAGCTACTCAGGAGGCTAAAGCAGGAGAATCACAAGTTGAGGATCTACAACTGAAATAGAATTGTTTTGTCTTAAAATAAAAAACAATAATGACATCAAAAGTCCTGGGGATGTAGGACAATGGTAATAAACCCCTCAATTCAATCTAAAGAGGTGGAAAAGCAAAGGAAAATTGACCATCAGTTTTGTGGGTTTTCTTTTTGTTGGAGATGGAGTCCCACTATGTTGGCCAGGCCAGTCTTGAACTCCTATTTCAACATCCTGAGTGCTGGAAGGCAGGTGTTCACCACTGGTGGCTAGAAAAGAGATTGTAAACTGAATTTGGTGGCACATGACTAATTCCAACAATTGAGGAACCTGAGGCAACGGATCAGAAGTTTTAGACCAGCCTCCGCAATTTAGCAAGACTCTATCTCAGAATAAAAAGGGCTGAAGATCAAGCTCAGTGGTAGGATATGATTGGGTTCAGCCCCCCCCCCAGAGCTGGGAAAAAATTATATATATTCCCATTATACAGAGGACTTGGACATTTTATATATTTATATTCCATTATATAGAAGGAATTGGATATTTTAAATTTCTACTTTGGGTATGTACAAGAAGAGAGTTTCCATGAGTAAGCATGGAAACTCTCTCCTTGTGCATACTACATAAGAACTCCAGCATTGAGCCAGACCACAAACCTTGCATTTATTTTCTCACTGTTATTGGAGTGCCCCACCTTTATCTTTTTTTCCCATTTTCTTTGGGGGTGTGATAGGATTTCCTGTGATGCTCAGACTGGTGTTAAATTTGTGGCCTCAAGTGATTTTCCTGCTGCTGCTTTCTGAGCAGGTGGGACTATAGGTACATGCCTCACACTTGGCTATATAATCTCATATTGATAAACCTTTTACATGTGATAAGAAACCCAGAAAATTTAAAAAAAACAGCAATTTAAGATGACTGGGCATAGTGACATATTCCTAACATCCCAGTAGTGCAGGAGGCTGAGGCAGAAGGATCATAAGTTTGAGACCAGCCTGGCCAGTTTAGCAAGACCCTATCTCAAAGTAAAAAGGGCTGGGAATGTAGCTCAGTGGTAACAATTTTCCTGGCTTCAATACCCAGTACTGCCAAAACCAAATAAATGAATAAAAACATTTGGGCTGGGGTTGTGGCTCAGTAGTAGAGTGCTTGCCTAGCATACATGAAGCCCTGGGTTTGATCCTCAGCACCACACAAAAATAAGTAAAATAAAGGTATTGTGTCCATCTACAACTAAAAAAGTTTTTTTTAAAAAAAAAAAAGAATAAACATTAAAGCTGGGATTGGTGGAACATGCCTGTAGTTCCAGCTACTCTGCAGAATGATACACAAGGATCACTTGAGTCCATGAGTTCGAGATAAACCTGGAGAAAATGGTGAGACCTTATATCTCAAAAAAAAAACACAAACTAAATAATAATAATAATAACAATAATAATAATAATAATTTGTGAAGCCAAGCACAAACCTCCAGTGTCACCAAAGGAGAGAAAAGGAGAATCCTCAAGCTCTGCCAGGTGTCTTAAAGTTCTGTGACTCCAATACAGTGAAGCAAATTTACTCCTCCTGGTAAGACATAAGACAGTGGTAAAACACTGAATCATATGGAAAGTTGTGACGTACTCATAGATAAAAAGATTATTTCTAGAAAAATACAAGGCTAAGCTATATCATTTCTACTTTCTCCTATATCAATGCTGCTTTTTGTCAACTGTTCAGATGGCTCTTGAGTGTAATTTGGAGTCTGAGTATTACATTGATCTCATAGTTTTGTTAGAAATGGAATGGGATGTTTTACATTTTTTCCATATGTTTTATACATTATAATTAAACATGAGAGTGGGATTGACCCTTGTTTCATATTGTTACATTTACTTGGGGTTTTTGCTCCTCACTGCTTTAAATGATTTTAAGTTTAGAAAGAAAAAGTGTGGATTTATAGACATGTTTATGCTAGAAATATGTTTATTGTCAGTGGTATAAAAGGAATATTTGCTATATAAATGCCCAGACCTTGAACTAAAAACAGGGTTTTTTTCTCAAAAATTGCAAGCAAATTACATAAAAATAAACATTATAACTAAAAGGATTTATATCTCTGAATTAGAATATCAGTGGGTAAGAATAGGAATATACTGGATTTTTAAAAATAGTTTGTTTAAAGCAGCATCAGAATGAAGTCCAGGTGTTGCAGTTGGTTGAGCGACTCCCTTTCCCCACACTGGTTCTCCTGCTTTCTCTTCCTTGTATTGTACTTTAAAAGATGCAGGATCATTTCTCCTGTTAGATTTTTAGATTTTTGTCCTTAGTGTAGATTTTTCCAATTATACCCCCCAGGATACCATTTTTATTTAATGTTTATCTGTCTCTAAATTCTCATATCTAGTTTTTTAAAATAATGTTAATTATGCAACAATCATATGTGGTTTGAATTAATTGTATTTAGTATGTTTACATCATCACAGAGATAAAGGCTATGTTCAAAAAAGAAATAGACTTCTTTTTAAGTAATACTGATCTTGACCTTTTTTACTTTAATCTGGTATCCTTAGGAAAAGGTCAGACTTTTACCTAGAACTTTTGTGTCAACTAGTAAGTTTCATATTAAAAAGAAAATAAAACATGTCAAAAATAATTTTTTCCCAGTTGCCATGGTAGGTGGCTTTATATCTCCTTTTTCCTTAGTAGGCAACCACTGAACCACATCTCCAGCCCTATTTTATATTTTATTTAGAGGCAGGGTCTCACTGAGTTCCTTAGCACCTAGCTAAATTGCTGAGGCTGGCTTTGAACTCAAGATCCTCCTGTCTCTGCCTCTTGAGCCCCTTGGATTATAAGCATATAATTAACAGGCCAGGACTCCCTTACATTTTAAAAACTTTATTGAAGGAAATTATATATCATTTTAATGATCAATCAAAGGGGTCAGAACCATTTTAATGATCAATTCAGGTTTTTTTAAAAATGTATTTTTAAGGTTTCATTAAGATTATAGAGTTACTAGCTGAGCCTTATATGAATTATTATTTTTATATTACTACTACTGTCATTTTACTTAAAATGAAATCAGTTTTAAGACATTTCACTTGCTCCTCTTTTATATTATTTTTCTTTTTATCATATAAAAGTTTTCTTTGATGAACTGTTAACATTCCTTTCTCTTTCATTTTCAGAGAAGGATTGCTTCCCTTCTGGAACACCCGCAGTAAGTTGATGATTTATTTCTTATAGTTCTTGTTCTAATTAAGGTTACAAAAACAAATCTGTTTTTTATTTTGCCTTCTAATATAAGACCTAAAGAACTATTTCATATGTTTCTAAATAGTACTCAAGAATATTTATCATATACATTTATTTCATATATTTACTTTCTCATATTTCATAAAATCATCTTTACTTTTTATTTGATTATATTGGAAGCAGTGAGATTTAATCATTTAAAAATTAGCTATTGAAAAAATAACTTCTTAAAGTTTGTTTACAAAAAAGAGACACAGTCACATATTAACCTTTGAATTTTCCTGGCTTGTCTTCCTTTGCTCCTGTGATGAATGCAGCTGAACACCAAGGGGTCAGAACCATCAGCAGTAGTAACAGAGGAAGATGATGGTGATGATGGAGAGGTGCAGCCTGTCATTGCCCCACGACCAGATCATACAAAACCAGTGAGTGACTAATGACCTGGTGTGTACATCTGTGCATGTGTGTTTCTAAAGACAGCTGTTTGTGTTTGACTTTCAGTGATAATTTCAAAAACACTTCAAGTTTAAATTTTTTAATATGAAAAAATTAATTTAAGATTAAATTAAATTTTTTATGGAAAGGACACTCATCAAAAACTACTTTTTTGAAAAATAAAAATCTATGGCTTCTTTAAAAGTTAGAATACTTAACTCATTCAGTTTTTTCTTTCCATGTGTTACCCCCTTTTCCAGAGGTCATCTATTTCTCTGGTTTTTTTCTCTGTTTCACTCTTCTATCTAAAACTCAGATTTTCCTCTTCCCTAGATTATGTACTTTATTTCTCATTTTGACATTTCTCTCAAAGCCTTGATGGCATTCTAAAGACAGTTGAGAGTGAAATTTCTCCCCAGCTGAGGAGAATTTCAACAGTAATGAGCTCAGAGGGAGCCAGGGAGACAACTACTAAGGGGGCTGGACTGTGATGTGGTAGCTGTGATGTGGTAGCTCCGAGGACTGCCATTGGATTCCCATCTCATGGCAGATGGCTGTGTTTTCTATATTCCTTACAACTGGCTCTTTGAAGTGAAAGGGAGGGTAGGCATTATATTTGTGTAAATTGTTTTTTGGAAATTAGTAATTGCAACATTAAGATTTCTAGTCTTTTGCATTTTATCTTTTCTTTATGAAAAACATTAGTCTTAAAGTGTGCTGCTTTTTTACTATGTCATTTTACTATTTTTTTAACTTTAAAAAATATTTTTAGTTGTAGATGAACACAATACCTTTATTTTATGTATTTATTTTTTCTGTGGTGCTGAGGCAGAAGCCCAGTACCTCACACATGCTAAGCAAGCATTCTACCACTGAGCCACACTCCAGCCCTTGTTATACTATTTTACATCTGGGCACACATAAATTTTATTCATAGACCTGCTATTTTACTTGGTATATTTTTTTGGGGGGGGCGGGCATTGTGGATTGAATCCAGGGACACTTTTTATTTTTTATATTAGACAGAGTCTCACTAAATTACTTAGGGCCTCACTAAGTTGCTGAGGCTGACTTTCAACTTGGAATCCTCCTGCCTCAGTCTCTCAAGTCCCTGGGATTACAGGCATGCACTGTAATCCAGCTGCTGGTTTCATTTTTAAATTCATTCATGCTATGGCAAAGAAAAATGTTTCACATTTTTTTCACATGTGCTTTTTTATAAGTCTGCAAGTATGACATTCTTTAGAACAACAAGAGAAATAACTTAGTTTTGATTAAAATATTAAAGAACTCTGAAAAGTGTACCAGTAAGAATATCTGAAAATATTTTTTTTTCAAATCTCAGGCATGAACTATATCTCTACAGATTTCCACCCAGTCTATAACTGACGCTGTTCCTGCTCCTCTTGGTGACAGGATTGTCGACAGTGGTGCCAAGTCTTCAGACAAACAGAAGAAGAATACAAATTTGACTGATGAGGAGATTATGGTGAAATTAAGTATGATATGTACATTTCATATTATTCATGAATTAACATTTCTTGAAACATTTGACCCAATTCTGGGGATAGAGCTCAGTAGCAGAGCACTTGCCTGGCGTGTACAAGGCCCTGGGTCCTTCACCAGCACTGCACACACACACACACACACACACACACACACACAAAAGACCCAATTGAATTGAAATCTATACATTTCATTTTAACTTAAGGCAGAAAGAATAACTTTCTCATAGGAGAATTGATTCAATTCAAATGTAGTGAGCAGGGCATAGTGACACATGGCTATAATCCCAGTAATTTAGGAGATGTAGGCAGAAGATTTCAAGTTCAAGGTCAGTCTGGGTAACTTAGTGATATTCTGTCTCAAAATAAAATATAAAGGACCAGGGATATAGCTCAGGAGTAAGGTGTCCCTGGATTCAACCCCCAGTACCACCCAAAAAAAAGTGAAGGCAAAATATTATTCATTTTGTTTGTTATTGAATTTGAAACATATTATGCATTGATAGTGAAGTCAGTCCCTTTGGGAGCAATACTTATTTCCTGTGAGCCAATGTAAAGAGTTGAACATGGACATAGTTGGAAACATTATCAAAGGAGGTTTGTATATATTTGCCCACCCTATAGCTTTTCAAAATAGAAACATTTAGTCATAAAATATATTCCAAGGAAAAACACATTATCCCTGTCTCTTGAATCATTTAATATCAATGGCATGAATCAAGCATTATAAATAATGTAAAAAGTTCCAGGAAGGGGGTAACAGTAATGTCTGATTACAAGCTTCCAGTAACTATAATTATAAAGAACAATGTGATGTAGAAGGCTCAAGGAAAAATATTTTATAGATGGGTTGTTATAAGCATTTACATACTCAACATTTATTTGTTCTTGATTCCTCAGTATTTTTCAATATAAAGCTGCTTGAAATGTGATATCCTATAGATATTTGTATATAATAATCCTTATATTAGGAGGACTGCTGCTTTTAAAAATAAATTAAAAAGTTTAGTGTGACTATTTATTTGTGACCTTTAGTTATGACATCCCGTCTTTATGCCCATAGCTTCTTGGCTTGAACCTTAGTAGCTAACTTGAGATTGAGTACCTACATAAGATTATTTATGTGAGTTTCCTTGACATGGCCTTGTCTTCTTTTATCTTGAGTAAGTGAAATTTTAATGTGATTTTCTTATGTTTTGACTTACTGGACATAAGAATTCACACTACCTAATCTCCTAATTTTACCATTTCTTGGTCATTACTTTGAACAATTCTGAAATAGATAAATTGATTATTCCATAGTAGAGTAATATTTGCAATAGTAGGTGGTTTCCTAAATTTATTGAAGATATCCTGAAATAGTCTGAAAAGTCAGTTAGGATTATTCCTTTGGCTGTCATTTATTTATTATTACTGATAGCTGTTTTAAAATTTATCATTAGTGTATAATACATGCAGTGGAGAAGAAAAGTAGAGTGAGGAATTTCCCATGAATTGCCAAGTTCTTGTTTGTTTTTGGTCCTAGGGATTGAACCCAGGGGTGCTTTACCACTGAACTATACCCCAATCCTTTTTTTGTTTGTTTGTTTGTTTTTGTTTTGAGACAGAGTCTCACTGAGTTTCCAAGACTGGTCTGCAGCTTGTGATTCTTTTGCCTCAGCTCCTGGATATTTGGGATTACAAGCATGTGCCACCATGCCCTGCTGTAATTGCCATTTGGAAATATGTACATCCTGAGAATCCACTTAATTCTCAGGAAGACTAGAACAATCAATTATTCTGAAATAGCAGTGTTACTTAGAATAGCAAAAAGTGGAAACAACCCAATTACCTGTCACCTGATGAACAGTAGAATATTATTTGGCCATAAAAGGGAAGGAAGCTCTGATACATGTACAACATTGACCCTTGAATATATTCTACTAAGGAAAATAGGTCATACAGCAGAGGGAATTGGATTTTTACATATTCTTTCCCTAATGCTTTTTGTCCCATTGCCAAATATTCCAGTTCAAGTAAGCAGTTAAAGTAGTTTTGACAGTATATCTATTTAGAACACTTTCCAGAGCCATTTTCAAAACCCTTATGTTTCATGTATTCATTTAGCCAATATTGAATTTAGTCCCTGCCTTGTGCTAGGCACTGTTCAACTTGCTGCCCAGAGAACACACAAAAATTTCTGCCCTTGTAGAACCTACATTCTAGTGGAAGGAGAGACACAAGAAGGGAAATAAGAATGCTACATTAAGCAGTAGACTCTTTAAGTGATGGACTGGCGGAGAGAGAGCATCAGGGGACTGTTTTCAAAAGGGTCCTTATAGAGGGCTTCACTGAGGTGACATTTGGACACAGGATGTGAGAGTGGTGCTTATTTACCTAGGGAAGAGCATGACAAGCCAAAGAAACAACAAGTCCAAAAGCCCTGAGGCAGGAATGTTCCTAGTGCAGTGAAAGATCTTGAAGGGCTTTAGCAGAGTCACAGTGCACTGAGCAAGTAATAGGTAATGAGGTTCAGTGAGTGAGACCCTGTGTAGTGCTTTATGGGGATTCTGGCTTCCAATCTAAGATGGGGAAACCAAGTTTTGAGCAGAGGCATGGTCTTACTTAAATATATAGAGGCTCACTCTGGTCAATTTGTTCAGAAGAGATTCTTAAAGGAAGGCTAAGGCAGAAGCAGAAAGACCAATTAGGAAGCTGTTGCTATAATTCAGGCAAGAAATGACAGTAATGTAGACAAGTATGGTATCAGTGGAGGTGATAAAAAAACATAGATTCTGGATTTATTTTGAAAGGAGCATCTATGTAAAGAAGAGGTGAGGAGAGTTCCAAGAGTTATGTCCTAATAATTGGAATGATGAACTTGAAGTGTCCCTTAGTTGAGATGGGAAGGACTGCAAGAAGGGTAAAGTGATTGGGTGGTAAATTGGTTGTAATTTGTAGACGTGGCCTTACTTTGCATCTACAAATCACACTGCTTCTGAATTATAGAGCTGAAAGTGTTAGCTAAAAAGTGTAGGTGTTTATTAGTCAGCTGTAGCTGTTTATTAATGAACAACATTTTTAACTTGTTTTTAGCCACGTTAAAGTTAAGACACCTAGTAAGATGTTCAAGTGGATATGTTTGTGAGGCTGTTGGGTAATGGAAGTCTGGGATCCAGATTAGAGAGATAAAATTGAAGCTCCATAGGTACAGATGTTTCCTAAGCTGCAAGACAAGATGAGGTCACAGAGTCAAGTCAGAATAGATGGACAAAAATATACACACCAAATCAAACCACGATACACTGGATAGAGGATTATAGGCTGGTGGGTTTTTCCTTTCAACCATTCAAAATTTCACTGTATTCTCTTTCTAGCATATTTTAGAAGTCCACTAAAATTGATATTTTTGCTCCTCTATGAGTTTGCGTATCCATTTCTTTAAGCACATCTCTTTGCCTTTGATTTTCAGCAATTTGAAAAATGCTAGGCTTTGATTTGGGGTATTTACCTTTTTTGATGTTCCCCGAACTCCCTGTATCTATTACTTCAGAAAAGTTTTCTGTCATTATGACTTAAAGTCTTTAGCGTTGTTCTATTTTGAATCTTCTCCTACTATTCCAATTGCACACATGTTTATCTTTTGCAATTGCCCCATCATTCTTAAATTTTCTTTGCTGTTTTGTTTAAATTATTCTTTTCTCTTTGCAATTTTGGCTGAGAAGTTTCTTCTGACCTATCTGCAAGTCCGTTAATATTCTCCTAAGTCATGTCCAGGGTGATAATGAGCACATCAAAGGCATTAATCAGTTATCTTAGTGGTTTTTATTGTCTTTCCTTTCATTTCTCACAGTTTCCATCTCTCAGCTGACATTATCTTTTCTTTAATATTATTTTTTAGCTGTAACCTTGAATAACTCAATCATAGTTGTTTTAAGTTCCTATCTGATAATTCCAACATCCAAATCATCTGTGGGTCTCATTCTAATGCTTTATATACTTGGACTATGTTTCTTCTTGCCATTTAGTCAGCCTTATAATTTCTTTGTTGTTGAAAGTCAGACATAGTATATTGAATAATAGGAACGGAGGTAAATAGGCCATTTATTTGGTGAGATTTTCTGCTAATCTGACTAGAAGTTCATGTTTTCTGTAGCCAAAGGGGCCAGAAACTTTAGATTTTTATAATGTCTTTATGTTCATTTCTTGCCCAGAAAGAATTCGTGTCTTCAACTCTTTCAGCTGTAATTCTCTATAGTTGTGCTGGAGGCTTTTTGGTATAGTGGCACAGTAGAGAGGAAAGAAGGATTCTGTGGTCTATGATTAAATCATAGTGTTGAGTGAGCCTGCATTTCTGGGGTGTGACTTTCACTGCTGTTTCTTACTTTTCCACAACCACTGGCACCTTGCATGAGACAAGAGCCTGGAGTAGGAGAAATGCCTTCCCCGTCATGGGACAAGGCTCTGGTGAAGTCCTTCTCTTTGGAGAGTAGGTTTCTGTTCTGGAGAATGGTTGCTCTTTTCACAATGGTTACCTTTCTTCAACCCCTGCCTGAGCCATGAGGATATCTTCATTGGCTCTTCAGCAAGAGAAGCTAGTAAGATTCCTGGAGGAGAGCCTGAGGGGCGGGGGCTCTCTAAGGCTGTGTCCTTTAGAAGTTTCTCACTCTCACACTAATGTACCAACAATTTATCAGAATTACCATTAGGTGTTCCTACCAGTTGATGGCTCCTGTGGCTTCTTCTTCAGGGGAACAGAGCTGTCCATGAACTGGATTCAGCTCTTTCTCCGGATTTCATGGTGGCAGTGTGCCCTGCTACCAACCTCAGTTCTCTGGTGGGGATGTAAAAGTTGCTGATTTTCCATTTGTATATTTTCTTTGTATATGGGCTGTGTTGGAGGGGTCTCTGTACTTCTAGAATGTGTAAATTTATTTATTTTGCCAAATTTTGAAGAATACTCGTCAATGTTCCATCAAATGTTTCCCTCCT